AGACTTTGGAGCCCTGGTTCCACTCGATCGCTTCTTCAATACGAGCAATATTAAAGTTGCGTAAGTCCCGCCGCATGCATTTGGAGATCAGTCTGTTCAGTTTGTATCCTCATCGCCCGTCTTATAGCCATGAGATTAAGAGTGTGATCGGAGTTTTGTGTTCTTCTGCGGCGCGTCTTGCAGAACTTAGCTCCGACCGCATGGACAGTTTCCACGAGCTTGTCATTCATATCGTTCACTGCATTGCAATCTTCTAGGCACTGAGAGCGGTTTTGTAACTCGAGCTGAAAGTTTTGGGATTTTGGATTAGAGTACGAGGGGGACGGAACGGATTTTTACGTGGTAGAGCCACGCTGCAGCTATATTATAGCTGTGGCATGAATGAGTCGGCTCGACCGGCGCAGGACCGCGCTCTCACGCAATACCAGCGTGAAATAGCAGTGTAATGCTGCTGTGTTTCGTATGGTGAGTGTGGAGAACCAGAGACCCTTTTTTACTGGAATCGAGGCATTTTATCTTAGTCCTCAGGGATGAGAACACTTTTTCATTTTGATTCTTAATTGAGGGTAAATGTGGATGTTTATGGGCTACAGCATCCACTTACCATCAGGTGGACTGTGTCCTCTTTTTGTCACTCAATGCTATAAAAAAGCGTTGACTTCATTAGACGAGACCTCTCCAACTAACGTTTAGGTTCAGTGTGCCTCTTACCACTCGGTGATCGCTGCCAGTGTTCACCCTTGCGATCACGGAGACATCACTGAACATTTGCCGTCGTCATAATGAAGTCAATCTCATTTTTTGTCGAACCGTCGGGGCTCGACAAGGTCCACTTTCTGTGGGGCCGCTTCTGGAAGAAAGAGTTCATCATAAAGAGTCCCTCTTTCTCCATGAAGTCGGCCAGCTGCTAGCCCCTTGGGTTCCGTTGCCCTATCCCAAATTTCCCTACCTTCAGCTCACCGTTCTTTCTTGTGCCTAGCTTTGCGTCAACGCAAAACTAGGCACTCGACTTCAGTCTCCCATTGATACCATCCATATAGTGAGTTTTGGAGAATTGCATGGCTCTCGAAATATCCTCATACATTTCCTGCACCTCCTCATCGGGATGTTCCGACGTTGGTGCGTAAACCTATATGACCTTTAGCGAATACCGTTTGGTGATTCTGAGTATAAGGTACGCAACCCTCGTCGACACATTCTCGATCTTTACAACGTTGTTAACGAGAGACTTGTGATTTGGACAGATGGCCGCCCTCCCGGTGATAGAACAAGTTGCGTATAGATTCGAGAATCACCGTGTCCTCCCCTTCTCTTCGGACATCGGATAATAGTATAATATTCAAGCGCAACTTGTCTATCTCTTCTTCCAGCTCCAGGATCTTCTCTTCTGTTCTCAGGGTGCGTGCGTTGCATGTTGCCAAGTCAAGTCGTAGGTGGCAACCGAACCTCCACCGGGGATTCTTAGTACCCCCCTGTCCAGTCGTTACCGTGGTCGCTACCGTAGCCAGGAATAGCGGGGCCGCCGGGGACTGGGGGCCGTTTCTTGCCACGCTTGGCGAGCGGGTTGGCAACCGCAGTTTTTTTTGTACGGTTGCTGCTATCAGGAAGATGCTGCTGCCCATCTCCTGCCTGTTTCCCTCTGTCGCCTTTTGCGACACCCACGGGAAGATATGGAGTAGTGGATATTCTTAACCGCCAGGCGTTGGACAGGTTGCGGATGTGTGCGAAAGAGTTCCCATGGCCCTGGCAATATGCGACGAAGTTGGAACACCATGGGGTTTTAGTCAGTACGAATCCGACATAACCCGTCCTTGCTCCCGCGAGGCGGGTATGCATAGACATTTCCTCATGTAAAAAAAAGGATGTTGCTCGATGCGTGAAATGAAATTCGTGTTCGCTTGAGGAGAAGGTTGATAATGACGATCTGAAGGCGATTGTAGATGGGAATCCGTCTCAAACAACGGCTGATCTTATTTGCGGCAAATCGATAAAATAAAGAAGCCTGAGAAATGAGTAGGTACCTTAAGAAATCAATAGCAGCGAGATACCCGCGTCCAAGCTTTTATTAAATTGCTGATTAATAGGAAGGAGGGAGTTTTGAGTCAAGTTGCTGACCGCAATGATGATGATGCTAAATAAAGGTGTTCCAGCCAACATTTGCCAAAAAATAAAAGATTAGCCAAAAGACTCTTACAAACCTTATCTTTTTAATATCAAAGTATACAATTTCTTTTCTCACAGCATCTAACCCTACAGTAGGAGCAGCCTCAACAAAGGCACGTAATGGGCTAAGTGATACATACACGGCCGTAAGTTGCATTTTGATTACGCGCGCCACAAAAATCTGTAGGCTATTTTAACGCAGGTCACATCCGAGGCGAGCAAAGTATTATGAACATTAGCTAAGTTGTAACTAGGTTTAAACTCGCGACTTTGCTATCAGCGAGTGATTCTTCTGTACTATTATTTATTCTGTGGTTATTTATTTATCTATTTATGATTTATTTGCACATGGACTACAAAAAGGCGGACTTAATGCAACAAGGCATTCTCTGCCAGTCTACCTCCAGGCTAAGCAGAGTAGAAATTGTGAGTGCAAAGTGCAACTGAGTTAAAACATAATTATACATATATATTATTATATAGATATACATACAAGATATATAAATCTTATACCTTTAAACGAGCAATTCTTGTATATATATATAAATCGGAATCTCTGAAACGGCTCCAACGATTTTTATAAAATTTAGTGTCCAAGGAGTTTCGGGGGCAATAAATCGATCTAGCTAGGACTTATTTTTAGAAAATGTCCTTTTGTCTGTGTTTTCAGGCAATAAAAAAAACTGCTACAATATAAGAAGGTAAATTTTGACAGATCACTAACGACCGTAATAGCTCACGTGGGATGTCGGTCGGGCGTGATATCAGAGTTCCGTGGTTCGCGTCCCGTCTCTGGTCCATCTTTTTCCTTTTTTTTTCAAGTTCCCTTCTTTTATGAGAAAATCTATTATTTCAAGCCCTTTTTTTAGTTTATTATTTATGTTTCATCAGTATGTAATTTATAAATGTAATTTCAAAAAAAACCTTCCGGGTACTATATACATATATATGCTTATAAGTACGAATATATAAATATATACATAAGCATATATATACATATATATGCTTATGTATATATTTATATATTCGCTGAAGGTCATATAGGTTTACGCACCAACGTCGGAACATCCCGATGAGGAGGTGCAGGAAATGTATGAGGATATTTCTAGAGCCATGCAATTCTCCAAAACTCACTATACCGTATCAATGGATAATTGAGCAAGTGGATGAGTTTGTGTATTTGGGATGTGTATTTAGCAGGGATGATAGATATGATAAGGATATAGAAAGACGAGTAAATGCAGGGAATAGAGCGAATGGGGCACTATACTCTATTATGAAGAATCAGAATGTGTCAAAAAGGCACGTATGGTAGTTCATAATGCTGTGTTAGTCCCTACTTTAATGTATGGTAGTGAAAGCTGGGTGTGGCAGAAGAAGCACGAAAGTAGAATAAATGCTGTAGAAATGCGGTCTTTAAGGAGTATGCTAGGGTTGAATCTGAATGACAGGGTGAGAAATTGCGTGATAAGAGATAAATGGTATGCAAGATGATGTTGTGACCAGGATTACGAAAGGAATGCTTCGGTGGTTTGATCATGTAGAAAGAATGAATAAGGAAAGAGTGACAAAGCAAATTTATATGGCAGATGTGAACGGCAGAGTCGGGAAGGGACGCCCTAGAAAAAAGTTTATCGACCAAATTGGCGATATTTTGAAAATGGGCCACGTTAGAAGTACCCTTAACCGACGAGCATGTATGCATAGATATATGGATGTAAAGAAGGCGAAAGAGGTATGTCAGGATCGCGCCAAATGGAAGTCCGTAGTCTCTGCCTACCCCTCTGAGTGACAGGCATGAGTGTTTATGATTATGATTTATGAATGATATATATGCTTAATGCTGCCTGTGTATATATGCATATATAGTACATACATAACTAAATATAGCTGTTTCTGATTCAAACACCTATAAAATATTTGAAATAAAAACAGGAAAAGGGAACAGTTAGAATTTAAGTATATAAAAAATGTTAATCGACAAACTACTCCTGCAACGCCAGAAAATGATTCCAAAGCAAGTGTTTGAACAATGCCATGCTCGTGGCACCACGTACACTGCTCGGTAGCTCGTTCCACAATCTTACCGCATGAGACATAAAAGATTTATACAAGAAGCTAATGTGACAGAGGGGGACATGGAGATTAGACTTTTCTGCAGAACGTATACGATTATGAGAATCACCCTGATACTGAAAAAAAATATACATGGTATTACCCCCTGCAGCCTTAGTCAAACAATGAAACCTACAGGCGCATTGTCACCTTTGATGCCACAAACTTCGTGTGCATCACTATGCAATACATCCTTTTAGGAGGTAATAGCAGAGGGTGCGGACGCGGTAAGCTAGTGATGCACTTTTTATCTTCTCTTCGAGACATTAGCATTCACCCGAGTTTTTGATTACCTTTGTGTTTTATTTTCGTTGAATTTAATTTGTTTATTATTATAGTGTAAGTCTGTATACAAGTTCAGGCCCATCATGTTTTACTTTAGTATAATAATGCATTTGTATTAATAGCCTTAAGATCAATTTAATTCCAATTTATTTTACATAGTGAAATTGGAACAATAAACTACGTACGTACGTACGTCAAAAATATCTAAAATAAATTTATTGTAATTTAGCTTAGCTTAGTTTTAAGTTCGACTTTGGGACTATTGGAAATTGATTTAGTGAGTGTATTTTTGGCGTGTGGCAACAGTGACATACGTGAAAGTTTGTAAAGCCTGCATTTAAGGCCGGCGAAGTTAAAACGGCCGTATTGTATAGTTATATAGCCTGGAATGATATTACATCGTTACGGTATGTTAGTATTATAAATTATGTAATTACCTGGACGCAACTGATCTTCACTAAGTGGTTGCCTGTTGAACGGGTCCGTGGCACTGTTGAGCAGATGCCGTAAGATCACTGACTTGTCCATCACCTGACAAAAATACCTATGTTTAGTAAATTAATAATATACAACATCAATATTATATTAGATCCTTTCTTATGAGTCGCGATAGCTTACGGACTTAATCACTCGCCGTACATTTCACAGTACAAGGACAGCACGGATTTGATCCTAGCTGGCACCAATAATATTGTTGCGCGCCTAAGTTGATGTCTGGTACTTGGCACTAGCGCCATCTAGTGTCGTGGAACAGAGCGAGGAGAGCTTTCCAGAAAATGCCATGACTGAACTTTCAAACAACATCGCCATCTACTCGAACCTTCTGCACCGGTCAATCGGGGGCCGGTATTTGCTGGAATATTCTGGATATATCGGTGAAAAAGACGTATATAAAGGCGTTGAAGCCTGCCACCGGGGCAGTATTGAACTGGCGATACGAGCGAAGCTTTCGGAGTGAAATAAAGTGAACCAAAGTGTTGTGTGAATAATTATTAGTGTGATTTAAGTTTGAATTGGTGTTCAGTAATTAAAGTGTCAATTTTGGTAATTCAACCGGCAGTTTTTATTGACACGAACCCTAAGCTCGTAACAATATTGTTAATTGCATTTTTTTAAGTGCTGATTTACTAAGTGACCACGGAAACATCGTCAGTAAACCTGCATATCTGTGAAATAAAAATTTATTTCGGAAACTTGCTAAGTTCGCCAAAAAGCATTGGGGCAGGAGCTGGTACTTCCCTCCTCTAACAACCCTCGCAGAAATGAGAGGTCTGTGTCCAGCAGTAGGCACTTCTAACTTTTATGAAACTGCCATTTTCTAACTGTCTTGTTTGAATTTTAATATCTTGCATCTGCTTATTTTCACATTAAAATTTGTCATCATGACATTAATATGAAATATAGTGTGGTTGAGCCACACCGCAGCTGCATTAAGCCTGCAACACGAATGTTTCGGCTCTCAAGCGGAGATAGTTTTCGCTCTCACAAAAAGCAGCTTAATGCTGCCATGTTCCGTATAGTGAGTATAGAGAACCGGAGACCCATTTTACTAGTAATGAGATATATCTACTTAGTTTTAAAAAGGGTAAAGGGTAAACACATCTACATTTTGATTCCTAATCTATGACAGATGATAAATATATAAACCCAAGCATATATCTAAAGGAATTACTGTGAATGAGATATTCAAGACAAAAGGTTCAACAAAAAACAATACCTTCTCAGAGAAGAACTAGCAACTAAAATTAAACTCGGCGATCTTTCTTCAAGCCATGTTAATAAGACCTTTGAACAAGCCTAAAATTAAAAGTTTTGAATCTTAAATTTTTGACTGACCAATAAGATAGAATTTGTATGGCATACAAATTAATGTTTCAGGTTTGAATATTTGTCAATGTGCAATAATGTACGTAAAACGCCTCCACGATAAAGGAGAAATTCCTAATGTTGGCATAACGTTTTTTTTAGTAAAAATCGTCGGACGCGTGGTATACAGTGTGAGTCTTTATAAAGTGCACATATCAAAACCAGGGAAACTACACATAATTTCATCGACGGAAAAATTATTAAAAAAATATATAATTTTTTTTAATGAATATTTTAAAATTTGAAATTACAGCTGCTAACCCTATTTAAAAAAATTGTTATAAATTTTAAACTGAATGTCATCAAAATGGAATGATTTTTTAAATGATTATTACAATAAATTAAAAAATGGTTGTGACAATAAATTAAAAAAATCCAATAAAATGAACATCATAAAATTAGAATAAAGAGGTTTTTGATGAAAATCTGGTATTTTTTTCATCATTTTAACAATAACTTTAAAATTTCTCGAAAAATCGTCTTTAATCCTACTTTTTTTAAATCTCATGTTATTCTACATCATATTAGCTTTTTAATGGTAAAAAATGCACGTTTATTACTCAGATGCAACTTTATTAATTAGCATTTAAAAAAATCACATAACTCAGTTAAACACCGTAGCAGGTAGAGAGAACTACATTTTTAGGAATAAAACTAGATTTTATCTACATAAGCATAGCATAAGCATAAACACTCACGCCTGTCACCCAGAGGGGTAGGCAGAGAACACGGACTTCCATTTGACACGATCCTGACATACCTCTTTCGCCTCCTTTACATCCATATATCTACGCATACATGCTCGTCGGTTAAGGGTACTTTTAACGTGGCCCATTTTCAAAATATAGCCAATTTGGTCGATAAACTTTTTTCTAGGGCGTCCCACTCTGCCGTTCACATCTGCCATATAAATTTGTTTTGTCACTCTTTTCTCATTCATTATTTCTACATGACCAAAACACCGAAGCATTCCTTTCTTAATCCTGGTCACAACATCATCTTGCATACCACATTTATCTCTTATCATGCAATTTCTCACCCTGTCATTCAGATTCAACCCTAGCATACTCCTTAAAGACCGCATTTCTACAGCATTTATTCTACTTTCGTGCTTCTTCTGCCACACCCAGTGGAGACGCCAGTAACTTAAGGTATCTTCGATAAAGATTTAGTGGACTGTAATTTTGGTGCATACGGCAAAGGGGAAAATAAATAGGTGGGATAGCACGCACTGACCTGATGAGGGCTGCCTCGCCTTCCTCCTGGAGTGTCTGCTATACAGCGAGCTCGCCACGTGGTTCGGCGCACACGCACTCTCGGAACAGTTTCGTGAAGTCCCACACTCTCGACCTTTGCCCTTACGGGGGCGTCTCACACTTTTATGAGTTACAAAGACACAATGTCTGATGCGGTGAGTATTAAAGATAAACAGGAGAACTTAATGTTCGTCCTGCGCGGTTTGCGGTTAATATATATAAGACGCGACGGCTGGCCGTGCGTTGCGGATGGCGTAATGTCACTTAGTATAATGACGCGCGCCGAGATCCTTTCCTTCACCTCGGCGGCAGCGCGTGCGGTAGGAAAGGGAAGGAAGGAAGGAAACAAAAATATGCACTAGTCATGTTGATAAAGTAGTAGAAACTTAGGACGAACTCAATGCGATGAGTAATGTAATGTTGATAAAGTAGATTGTTAACTGGCGTTACCATTTCCTCCCGCCCTTAAAGGGTCACCTTTAAAAGACAACCGTAATATAAAAAGAAAAGGAAAACAAATAAATAAGCGGTATATAAAGTGAGAGGATGCGCTCAATGCGCGTGTGTCATCTACTAACCCTACTTGGTAAGCAAGAAAATGTATACATAAATATAATATTGCGGTTTAATACTTTTTAATATATAAATATAAACTTAATTCCTAATTTAGATAAATAATTATAATCAAATAATCGTGATTTATTGTCTTGGGAGAGGGCAGATACGAGCAACAGGACGGAGATATGTTCCCTTAGTAGTTCTCACGGTCACTACTCGAACTACGCCATCCTTCGAAGGATGAACAGACTCGACAATCGCTAATGGCCAAGCAAGGGGCGGTTCATTATCATTTATCACAATTACAACCATGCCTGGTACGATAGCCGTAGACGGGGTGTTCCACTTCTGACGAACTTGTAATCCGTGAAGGTATTCCGTCCTCCACCGATCCCAAAACGACTGAACTAATTTATCCAGTAAAGAATGCCTGTGTAACAGACTGGTAGAGTCAGATTTGACTTCGGGTGCGGGTAATGACAATAAAGGTGCGGTATTCAAAAAATGACTCGGAGTAAGAGCTGAAGGCTCTGCGGGATCAGAACTTAATACTGTCAAGGGCCGCGAGTTTAGCAAGCACTCAATTTGCGCAAGAACAGTATTAAGCTCTTCGTATGAAAGTAACTGATGTCCGATAACTCGGAACAGATGCGTTTTTACGACTTTGACCATACTCTCCCAGGCGCCTCCAAAATGAGGAGAGTTGGGACAGATGAACTTCCATGTTATACGATTCTCAGCACACTCTTGCTCAAGCTTTGGGCGGTATTCAACGTTTAGAAATTTATAGAGATCGCGAAGGTACGAAGCGGCACCTTTAAAATTCGTTCCATTATCCGAATATAAAAACTGAATCGGCCCTCGTCTAGAGAGGAAACGTTTAAGCGCAGCGAGGAAACTAGAACTACTAAGATCTGTAGCGATTTCTATATGCACAGCTCGAGTCGTGAGGCATGTGAAAACACATAAGTACGCCTTCTCGCTGCGTACACCACGACGACGTACAGGAGTGTATGCGATAGGACCGGCATAATCGCAGCCCGTGTGTGTAAATGCCTTAATAGCTTGTCTTATACGACTATGGGGAAGATCAGCCATCAAAGGGTAAGTTGGACGGGGTCTAAGCCGGAAACATATATTACACTTGTGGACTCTGCTTCTCACAGTGCGGCGTGCGGAGAGTATCCAAAATTTTTGACGGAGTAATGACAATAACAATTCAGGCACAGCGTGTAAATTTTTAATATGATAATAGTCAATGATCATGTTCACTACATGATCACTGCGCGGGAGTATAATTGGATGTTTTTGCGTGTAATCTAATGCGGAGTTCGAAAGACGACCACCAATGCGGATTAAACCATTCTCAATAAAAGGTCTTAAACGATTGAAAGCGGGCGAGCAAGGTTTGTTACCTTCAATATTTAAATATTCCACTGCAAAATGCTGTTTTTGCAGGGCGCGGAGCATTATAACCTCAGAGAAACTGAGATCATCAGCAGTCACTACAGTAGTGCTGCGGCGGGGCAATAATTTAGCAAACTTACACACGTACGCAATTATACGTAGAAGTTTACTCCAAGAAGAGATGCGGAGTGCAAGCTCATAAATCGCAGAATTACAGACGGATGTGCACACAGTGTGCGACAAAATCTTCTCAGACATATTTGCAATAACCTCATTGTCTAAAGTACGAAGAGGCCATTGATATGGATCTAATGAGGTCCACTGAGGCCCATGGAGCCACAGGGGGTTTGGTCCTGAATGCACGATATCATTTAATGCTCGCCCAGTGCTAGTCTTACTGCTAGCATCCAGGACGATGCGCAGACGCGTTGACTTCTTATCTTC